GGTACAGTGGCTCACATCTGTAATCCCAGCACTTTGGGAGGCTGAGGCGGGTGGATCACCTGAGATCGTGATGAAACCCTGTCTCTACTAAAAATACAAAAATTAACTGAGCATGGTAGTGGGTGCCTGTAAGCCCAGCTACTTGAGGCGGGGAGGGGAGGGGGCGGGGCTGAGGCAGAGTAATTGCTTGAACCCCGGAGGCAGAGGTTGCATTGGGTCGAGATTATTCCACTGTATTCTAGCCTGGGTGACAGAGCAAGACTCTGCATTGAAATGAAAAAAGAAAGAAAAATAAAAAAAGAAGCCATATTGGTAAATTAAAGGCAATTCTTTCAAGCCCTGCCACTGATTTATCAACTAAGTTTATATAGTATTCTAAATCCTTTGTTATCATGTCAACAATGTTAACAGCATCTTCACCAGGAGTAAATTTCATCTCAAGAAACCACAGAAAGTGCTGATGTAGAAGCTGCAGCAAGTTATCTGTAAGATCCAGCTAAGGACATTGAAGAATGTGGCTACACTAAGCAACAGGTTTTCAATGTAGATGAAACAGCCTTCTACTGGAAAAAGATGCCATCTAGGACTTTCATAGCTAGGGAAGATAAGTCAATGCTGGGCTTCAAGGCTTCAGAGAACAAACTGACTCTCTTGTTAGGGCTATGCAGCTGGTGATTTTAAATTGAAGCCAATGCTCACTTACTATTTAAAAAATCCTGGGGTGCTTCAGAATTCTGCTAAAACAACTCTGCTTATACTCTATAAATAGAACCACAAAGCCTGGATGACAACACATCTGTTTGCAGCATGGTTTACTGAATATGTTAATCCCACTGTTGAAACTTCTGCTCAGAAAAAAAGATTCCTTTCAAAATGCTACTACTCATTGACAATGTACCCAGTCACTCAAGAGCTCTGATGGAGATATGTAAGGAGACTGATGTTGTTTTCATGACTGCTAACAACATCCATTCTGAAGCCATGGATCAGGCAGTCATTTTGACTTTCAAGTCTTATTATTTAAGAAATATGCTCCATAAGGCTACAGCTGTCATAGACAGTGATTCCTTGGATGGGTCTGGGTAAACTGGAAACCTTGTGGAAAGGATTCACCATTCTAGATATCATTAAGAACACTGGGTTCATGGGAAGAGGTCATAATATCAACATTAACAGGAGTTTCGAGAAGTAGATCCTAATTCTCATAGATGACAATAAAGGGTTCAGAACTTCAGTGGAGGAAGTAACTGTAAGATGTGGTAGACATCGTGAGAACCAGAATTAGAAGTAGATCCTGAAGATGTGACAGAATTGCTGCAAACTCATGACAAATTTGAAGGGATGAGGAGTTGCTTCTTACAGATGAGCAAAAAAAGTGGTTTCTTGAGATGGATTTTATTCCTAATGAAGATGCAGTGAACGTTGTTGACATGATAATAAAGAATTTAGAATACTACGTAAACTTAGTTGATAAAGCAGTGGCAGGGCTTGAAAGAATTGACTTTAATTTTGAAGTTCTACTGTTGATAAAATGCTATCAAAGAGCATCAGGTACTACAGAAAAATCATCATGAAAGAGAATCAATGGATGCAAGCTTCACTGTGGCCTTTATCTTAAGAAATTAACACAACCACCCCAACCTTCAGCAACCACCATCCTGATCAGTTCACAGGCATAAAAATGGAGGGAATACCCTCTACCAGCAAAAAGATTAGAACTTGCTGAGGGCTCAGTTGATTGTTAGCATTTCATAACAATAAAGTATTTTTAATAACCATTTTTAAGTTAATGATTTATTTAGACATAATGCTATTACACATTTAATAGACTATAGTATAGTATAAACAACTTTTACATACACTGAAAAAAAAATCTGCAACTGGCTTTATTGTGATATTTACTTCATTGTGGTGGTCTGGAATCAAACCTGCAGTATCTCTGAGGTATGTTTACACATCTTTCTCTTGAATTACCTTCAGATTTATTTTTTTCCTATGCTTTTGACTAAGGGAAGAAAAGAGATCTGGAATTTAAACAAGTGGTATTTATAAAATTAGTCCTATTGCAACCAGTGGAAACTATCTCAAAACACAGAAAGAAATATAGTTGACTTTATAGTAGGATTTTTGTGATTACCATCATCATGGTCAATGCATTTTTATTCATCGCAACTATATATGGAATGAGTTGCTAAATCCTAGGAATAGAAAAAATATTGAACAATCCTCATCTTCAGTTGAATTAGCCATTAGTTGAGGGATGAGGACACATATGAAAAAAATATAAATTCTAACACACATTATCCTAAGTGAGAGTCAACCATTCAATATCTTTGGAGTTCAGAGAAGTGATTACTGTGGACTAACAGAGCCACCTTAAGGGAATTTGATCCATGTTTTGAAGGAGGACTAGAACCTAAAGAACTAAGGGAGGATTTTCCAGTAGATGTTACAGTGTGCATGAAAGTGAAAATGCACATGCATTTTCAGAGTAGACGTAATATATCAACAAGCCAGACTGATTTAGCGAATATTATGGTAGGAGAAAAATCTAGAGTGTTTTGCTAGCCTTGAATATTTAGATTAGCAGTGTATGCTTAAGGGAAGTTTATTAGTTACAGAAAACCATTTCACGTATTATGAGAAATAAACTTACAAATACTGTAGGTGATTTGATAAGGTGTTACTATTACAGATGTTAGTACTAGCATGAGGTAACTATGGCCTAGACTAGATAGCTGCAGAAGAAATTAAGCATTAAATGCTAGAGCCATTAGGATAGAAAAGTCAACAGAACTTGGCAACTTATTAGATGTAAAAGTAAGAGAACACTAGGAATTCCACCAACTTTTATTCAACTTTTATTCCCTGCGCTTGGGCTAGGGAATCATACGTGAATGAGCCTGCCCTCAATTACGTACATAATATAGAATTTTATATAGAAGGGAGTTATTAACTCCATGAGGGGTTAAAATGTGGCTGGAACAGCTTCACAAGTAAACTGATGCTTGAGCTTGGAATTCATGGATGAATAGAATTTCACCAGATGGGAAAAGTGAAAAAAGTAATAAAGAGGGGCAAAATATTACCTTTCACATTTTAAGTCTATGATTGGAGAAAGATGATAACACAGACTACAGTGAAGAAGTGTGGTAGTAAAGCTGTTTTAGGTGTATTGCCAATGAGTTCAAATTCAACAGTCTTCTAAGAAATGTGCAAAGTGCCTACAAATCTGAAGGCATTGGGGACACATCTATGAACAAAACAGACAAAAATTTACTACTTTTCTGGAGTTTGCATTCTAGTGGAAATAAACACATAATTAAAGGTATAGTGTTCACCAAAGAGCTTTGTTTTGTTGTGATGTTCCTTTTTTCTTTCTTTTTTGTCATTTATATCAGTAAGATAAAATAGTCATATGGAAGCATAGGCAACTGACAGCTAACTTAACAAGTCATCACTTAGGCAACAAAACTTACCAAGCAACTGTTCCCTCCAAGACTTCAAACTGTCCTCACACTGACCTTGATGTCTACAAGCTTCAGACAAATGGTTTAGTAATTGAGAGCAATAAACTAGAGTCAATCACATTTAGTTAGGAGAATCTTAGAGTCTTAATGTACTAAAGCAAGCTGACCTGCTTCTAGCTTTGCATTTTAATTGCACTCTTTCTGCCCTCCACCCATGCATGATGTTATGCTGAGATCTGCTGACCTTCTCAATACTTCACCAAATGTATCTGGACCACAGTTCTCCGTAGGTTTCTTTGCTAGAATGTTCAAAGTGAGAAAAATACTGGAAATGTACTTGCCCGTCAGAAATAAGAGTTTTGACTGACTAAAATGCTCAGTTTAATGAAGAAAAAATATGTTTAGCATTCCATTTGAAGCTGCCATCAAGGACAGTTGAGTTGTGTGATACCATTGTTTACTTGACTCTATGATGGCATAGTTCCCATTTTACGCTTCGGTAACCCAATATGCTGAGAAAACGCTGCCCATTAAGGAATTTACGGTTTTCTAACCTTTACTGGAAGCCAGTTTTCAGAGCCCTCACCTGACTGGTTGAAAAGCATTCAGTTAGTTGTCTACAAAAGTAATTTGGGGTTTGTTTATTTATTTATTTGTAAATAAATTACCATAAGCAGTTCCTTCACGTTTTAAATTATGCTTTTTTATTTTTGCCTAAAAACTGTTTCTTTAGAATTAATTGTTCTTACCAAACCCTAGTAACATCTTATCATGTCAAAGCAATATGGACCCAAAATTATCTCCAAGCAGTTCGCAGGAACTTTGAATCTAATTCTTCTGATGGAGCAAGATGACAATTTGAGGAATCCATTTGAGGCTAAATTGTCTTTGGAACAGGGTTTCAAATGTTGAATGCCTTCACAAATTCATTACAGCAAAAAACATTTATTAAGTGCCTAATGGGTGCTAAATCTTATAACAGGCAAATGCCATCTAAAAATGAATAAGACACAGTTATCCAGAAGAACTTCACAGTCTAATAAGATTTAGCCAAATTAAATTATTTTTGTTTATTTATTGTAACGAACTTTAGATTTCTGGGTTTTGTTAAGATCTAGCTAAGACTGGTTAAAAAAATTAGATCCCATTTTTAATCATATATCAGATTTCCAGCTAGTAGTAACTTATTTATCAAATGCTTAGCTAAAGAAGCAAAGATTTTTATACTATTTTAGAAAAGATTTTAGATTATCTGTAATCCACATTTTATAAATAAGAAAGCTGGCAGGAATTGGACTTAAAATCACATTTCCAAAGTCTAGTTGAAAGGATTTTCTACTGCAGTCCACATTAGAGTATGGAATATGGAAAAATAAGAGTTATTTGGTGCTAACATTACCTTAATTGATTGTGTGATAATTGTTTTACCTTATGCACTGGGGGTAGAAATCATTCTCTGTTTTCCCTGAGATGTCTCATGCATTATTTCTTACTACTAACAGCTTAATGGATATATCTACTGTGTATTAGTTTTCCAGATCAAGAAATTCGTAAAGTGGCAGTTCAACAATTAGACAACCTCTTGAATGATGAACTACTGGAATATCTCCCACAGCTAGTTCAGGTAAGAACAGCAGGGTTGCTAAGGAAATCCAGAGTTTTAACTAATGATTCTCTAAAAGGTTCCCAATGAATCAACAATAGACTATCTAGAAGTGATATTTCAATTTGATGACCCAAGGGACTAATGATGTCAATATGGGTAATGCAGAATTCTCTATCTGAAATTGGTACAATTACAAAAAAGTTACATAAATTCCAAAAAGGAAAGTTTTTAAAACTGATTTCACTTATTAATCAGAACATGAAAAAATAGACGTGCTTGTGATAAAATTTTATAAATACATATATAATGATAAAAAATACCAAATAAATGTTATGTAGAAATAGTCATTTGCTAGGCAGCTTCTCATAATTTATGAGTTTCTTGCACTTCTTTAGAGGCTTATATTATTGATCATAAATTTTATCATAGACATTTCTAATACCCAAATTTTGCCACCAAATAGTACATTTTAGTAATAGCAAATACTACAAGGTTGGAATAATTTTATAAAATAATATAACATTATTTAGAAATGTAAGCAAAGAGTGATTTAGTCTGAATATGATGAAATATAAACAATTAAATTACACATTTTACACATGACCATGTAAATAACCGAATATCTAATTTATAGAAGGTAAGTTGTTTTTGTTTTTTCCAGGATGACTATATTGAGTGCTAAATAGATTTAAACTTGTGATTTTTATGTTTTGTTTTGTTTTTAATCCAGCTGTTTTTTATCTGAAAGGTCAGGTTGTTACAGTTATTTTGAATGTCAGTTGTCTCAGGTTTTGAAAAGTGGCGAGAAACTGGTGGAAGGAGCCTATATTAATGAACTTTAATAGACGATGACTTCGCACAGAGATTATGAATTTCTCTGAAGTTCTCCTTAAGAGAGAGAGCTGGTTTAGAAATAGCTGTATCATCCAGTATAATCCAATCCTTCTTGAAAATAAGGATTAATCTAACTTACAAGTTCACTGCTCATCTCATGACTCATGGATATGGCCACATGCTATTTCTAGCCCAATTCAGGAGAGCACATTTTCAGAAAAGTTTGTAGACACTAAACTCACTGGAAAGCCTCTATCTGAGTAAGTACACTCAGCATCAGGAATGTCATTGAGACCCATATTCCCGCAAATCCAATTTATAAGACAGGATGCACACAATCTAACACAGCAAATACACAGAAGGCAAAATTAAAGTTTCATCTATGTTATGATTAAAAATGAAGGTTATAAAATGTTCATTCTGAGATGGAAAGAAATCTATAATGTGATTAGAAAATTTTTAAAAACTGGAAGAACTTCAAAACATTCATTGTCCTTAGACTTCTATACTTTACCTTGAATTTCAAACTTTCCAACACATAAAAAATCCTGTCCTGTTGGTTGTTTTCTGGAATCATGCTATTTTGTTATGTATTGTCATGTTAGAATTATGCAGTCTAAATTAAAGCCATAAGAAAGAACTCTAAGACAGTAACAAAACAGAAGATATAGTTCACAGCTAAGAGTCAAATAAGACTCAGACCCAGGGGTTACTGCAAACCGGTTCAGATAATGTGGTGTTCACCAGAAAAAAATGTCTACATTCTAGATGGTTAGGCAGGATTTAGGGGGAAATTGTTATATCCGTGGGCAGAGTAAAGCAAAAAGCTTGGAAGCAAGGGAAAACAAATAGTTACTGAGTTCAAGAAGAAATAATGGGGCAGACATCTAAAAGGACAAGCATGGAAGTAAATTCTGAAACATACCTCCTGCTCAAATGCCCATATGATATGCTCACTCTTAGGGCATAAATAAAACCCATGACCTAGTCAGCCCAACATTAACAAGTAAGTGAGAGAAGGCCATTGCTGCAGTTCAAGACAGTACATGTTATTGTCTTGCTAGTTTCAGACAGCATCAATAGTTTATGCACATTTGCTGAAGTCATCTTCAGCACCCTCACGCCTTAGTAATTTATCAACTTTCCCATTCTTGGGGACAGCTAGCATATTGCTATGTCTCTTCAAGTGTATGTACAACTGGATATTGTATTCATTTTTTCCTGGTGTCTGTATTGTGGTATAAAGCCTAGCTTAAACTCTTAAGCTTTGAGAGTATGTGCGTGTGTGTGCACGTGTGTGTGTGTGTATGTGTGTGTGTGGGTGTGCATGTTTAAGAGAGAGAGAGAAATAGTTTATTAAACAATTAAATATAGAAGCTTTGTCTCTCAAACAGGAATGAGCATTTTTATGAGAACCTGGTTTTCATTTTCACATATTCAGATTCCTGGGATGATAATAGCAGCTCATCTACGGACTGCTGTCAGTGAAGTTCCTGCAGAGGGCAGGTTAAGGTGTAAAGTAGGTCCCTAAGGATAGCAGGGGCTGCCATGGTTATCTGTGTTTTCTACCTGGTTGGGTATCCTAAAAAACTTAAGAGTTGTTCACAGTGGAGATGAAAGAAAGGATTTGGGACTGAGTTATGGTAGTAATAGTCAGCTTTGAAATTTTAACCAAAATCTCAAGGTCTGATGGTTAATAATGATATACCAGTTGATGATTTCTGTTAAGGCTTTTAGTGTGCATTAATTTCATCTCCAAATAAGAAGAAATATCTATGGCTTAATAATATTGTATTTAATAATTCAGGACTTTTTGTGTCAGTTTTCTCCCTCAGCACATGGTTGAACTCCACTAACCACCTGCACTCATTTCTTATCCATAAACAAGGAAAGAAAGCAAGACTACCCAAATCCAAATGATGTAATGAATGTGTTTTGTTATTAGTCATATACCAACTCATAAAATCATTGACTGTGTTATTAGCATTTTGTTAAAATGTGCGTGCTGTTTTCTCTAGTCTTTTCTCAAGCCTCTTAAGTCTCTCTGTATTCTGCTATGATTTTGTTACTGAGAAGTAAAGTAATTGTGTCTCTTACTTCAGGCTGTCAAGTTTGAATGGAACCTTGAGAGTCCTTTAGTGCAACTTCTACTCCACCGCTCCTTGCAAAGCATCCAGGTTGCCCATCGTCTTTACTGGTAAGATTAACTAAAACAGGCAGGATGCCTTTTTTAATTGCCAACTTCTCTATGGAGCAGCTTTGGTAGAAGCAGAAGATTTCTTTACCTTATAACTGATACATATCGTAAGTTAAAATTCAGTCAGATTTGAGTCTTTGTCAATGTGATTTTTATTTAAGAGGATAATTTGTCATCACTTTCAAAATCTACCATTTGGACAGTTGCTACTGTTAAACAGGAAGTTAAATCCAAATAGAATTTCAAATCTGAATGATACCCTTCTTGTAGCTTTAAATGACAATCGTAATTTGTATAGCTACTTCTTGAAGATTTTAATATAAAATCTAGCTATGAGACCGAATGTTTTTGGAAGAACATATGGTATAAAAGTACTTTCTGTACAATGTTAGTTATAAACCATAAAATCCAAAAGCTAACATACACTCATTCTGTTAAAAATTTCTAGAGCACTAAACTTTACCCAAAGCATACATCTGAAATAGTATTAGTGAAGAAATAAGACTGATTCATGAGATGCCAGAATTTCTGTAGCAACACCTGAGGATATTACCATTTCAGTCTCCACATCATTTCTGCCAGAACTTAGCTTCTGTACCTCCACCCCACTATTTCTTCATGTACTGAATTAGGATTTTCAAAAAATGCTCTTGCTCAGAAAAGCCTGTCAGTTGGACAGTTGCTATCGGAGACTAACGAATACAAAAGATGATGTAGAAGAAGTTCAAGGACCTGGAGTAGCTTGTGAATTTCCAATCATCAGCCCAGGTTGCGTAAATGAAAACAGCAACTGTACCACTTTCTCTATACCAGGATATATGGAAGGGTATTATACCTACCATTTTCTTTACTTTAAATATCTTTAATGTTGCCATTCTCCAATTCCATATGGCATGTCCAACAATCAGGGTGTCTATAGTATATTGGAAATGGGTCCTCATGAATCTGTAGAGTTGGAAGAGGAAGACAAGGAGGAGGAGAAAAAAAGATGATGATGATAATGATGATGATGATGATTCAGCAGATATGGGTGAATCAGATGAAGATGAGGAGAAAGACAAAGTAGAGTCGTTGATGTTCCCATTCATAGGTGCCGCTGCTTGTGCCTTTTTTAGCAAGCCTTCTGCTGAAAGGGATTATTCTAGTCTGACAAATAGATTTCTCAGTGATATAAATAAATAACTACATTGTTCTCAGCATATAACAGGAAAATCATAATGAAATATTGCTCCAGGCCCTGGGTTCTATGTGACATTACATTAGGAATTGGATTGTTTTGGCTTGTTTTGTGTTTTTAAAGTAAAGAAGGAAATGGGTTGCTTTTTCTCTCTAGCTAAGGAACAGACATTTCTTTCTTTTAAAATATTTTATACTTATAAAAATAGAGAAATGGAGAGGGAATTGTTTTGAATAAATATTTAATGTGTAGCAGAAATACCTACACAAGGATAGATAGTACCATGTGACTAAATGATTCTGTGAAAAGATTTCTCGGAGTTGAGAGTTATTTATAAATGAAACAAAATTTGTAATTAGGCCAATCCATTTAGTGATTCATTATATTTTGTACTCACAGAGAACTAATTGACTAAATAATTTGAATGATAGTGGTTTGTCCTTTCTTACACAATATATCCTTGAATTTAAAGTCTTTATCATCAAGAGCTTGACTTTACATTTTTCATCACTACAACCTTGAATTTAATTTCAAGTATTCAACATGATGACCTTGAATTTAAAGTCTTCAACACTATGAGCTTTATCATGTCATTCAGAGATGCATCATTTTGAAATGCAGTATGTAAAAGTATTTTTGGGTTGTTTATTAACAAAAAATTCTTCACAATGTCTTGCTAATTCTGTTTTGTTTCTCCTTTATACCCTTCACTATCTATTTTGTGATAAGTGACATGAATTTTATGTTAGGATTAAGTTGTTTTCCTGAAACACAGATTTTTTTGTGATTATATAATTTAGAGTTAAGAATGAAATCCTTCTAATGGTAAAAACTCATATATTAAAAACAGTCATTTAAAAAAAAAAGATTTCTCATATTATCACCTACACTTGATCCTATTGAGCATAATATTTTTTGCATCCTGGTTTTCATACTTTTTTTTGCATTATTAACCCTGTAGATTCCATTTTAATTTCATAGGACAAAATTTTAACGATTATAAGTTTCAGTGACCTAAGGATAAACTTAGACCTGTGTTTTACTCTCATGAATATATGACAGGCATCATTTAATTGCTTTGGTTGATAGTTGTGACCCTTAAACAATAGGAAAACAGCAACTCAATATCAGTTTGGAGTGTCATATTTCTCTGCTTCAAGAAATATTACTCATAATGAGATCAATCTTCTCATGATAACCACTCAAGAAGTCATAGCAAAAAAAGAGACACAAGGAACTTGGTCAGAGACTATGTGATTTATGCTTATTTTCATTTTAAATGCCTAATTTACAAAGCAGAACAATTCCTCTAGTATGTTACTATAATAAGACATGAGATACATTGACTGGCATGAGGGCCTTCAATGAATAGACTCTTAACAAAGCTCTGAATGAAGTCTTACTTTCTTCAGTTTTTCGGAAAACTACTGTAGTGCTTTGTGGTGTTCTCCTGTCATACCAAATGTAGGGCTCCATTAAACTCAGTGTTTACTTCCCTTAAAACTTCACTGTTTTTTTTTATCGCAATGAGATACCATCTCATGCCAGTTAGAATGGCGATCATTAAAAAGTCAGAAAACAACAGATGCTGGAGGATGTGGAGAAATAGGAATGCTTTAACACTGTTGGTGGAAGTGTAAATTAGTTCAACCATTGTGGAAGACAGTGTAGCAGTTCCTCAAGGATCTAGGGCCAGAAATACGTTTTGACCCAACGATTCCATTAGTGGGTCTGTACCCAAAGGACTATAAATCATTCTACTCTAAAGACACATACACACATATGTTTATTGTGGCACTATTCACAATAGCAAAGACTTGGAACCAACCCAAATGCCCATCAATGATAGACTGGATAAAGAAAATGTGACACATATACACCATGGAATACTATGCAGCCATAGAAAAAGATGAGTTCATGTCCTTTGCAGTGACATGGATATAGATGGAAATCATCATTGTCAGCAAACTAATACAAGAACAGAAAACCAAACACTGCATGTTCCCATTCGTAAGTGGGTGTTGAACAATGAGAACACATGGACACAGGGAGGAGAACATCACACACTGGGGCCTGTTGGGAGGTAGGGGACTAGGGGAAGGATAGCATTAGGAGAAACACCTAACGATGTAGATAACGGGTTGATGAGTACAGCAAACCAATATGGCACATGTATACCTATGTAACAAACCTGGATGTTCTGCACATGTATCCCTACATTATTAAAATTCAGGCATATTAAACAAGTAACATAGCCAGATATCAATTTTGATTTTAATATTTGAACAAAAATATAAAAGTATATAAAATATAAAAATACATAAAAGGCATTTCTAAAGTATATTAAAATATAAAATAAAATATTGAAGACTTATCCTAATTGACTTATGATTGTTAAAATACTGGCACCATCTCGATAAGTTCATCTGCTAAAGTTGTATGAAAAGTGGAGTCATTTGAAAGGCATCAATAGGTGCACACAAAGTTCTAAATCAATGTCATATTGCAAATTCACGTAAATACAATCACGTCACTGTTTCCAAAAAGGTTGGGGGGAAAGCTTTTTTTGTGTATAATTCTCATCTTTATGAAAAAAAAATTATACCCATTTTTCCTTTCAGCGATTCAAGAAGAAACTAAGGAATAGAAAAGAATATAAATTATTAAGGACTGTTTGTTTTGAGGCCTTTGTTTGTAAGAATATGAAAAAAGAAATAAGGAAGGAGTTTTCTTTAACTTTGATTTAAGTTCAGGGGCACATGTGTAGGTTTGTTAGATAGGTAAACATGTATTATGGGGATTTATTGTGCAGATTATTTCATCACCCAGGTATTAAGCCTATTACCCATTAGTTATTTTTCCTGATCTTCTAAGGAGAGAGATTTTATACGTACATCCCCTTGAAACAAATAAAAATTAAGAATCAGGCAACATGCACTAAGCATAAAATAAAATTAATTATATTTAAAACATATCAGAGTTCAAATAAATAACTGATACCCAGAATCGTGTTTAGGGAGTGATTGCTTATGTGCAAAATGTTTGTGTTAAAACTTTAAAGATGCAGCTCGCATCTAATGATTCATTAAAAAAAATACTGAAAAATACCTTTTCTTAAAAAAAGGACTTATTTTTTAAAAAGCTAGAAACCCATCAGTCATGAGTTTAATGAGTTTTTTTTGCACATAGATGAATTACTGTTTCCTCAGATTCAACATATTCAACACTGAACCAAATATCCTGTCTTGCTCACCCAGATCTTGAAGTCTTCCTTTTTTCTCACTATCATGATCAATTGTTCACCAAGCCCTGTAACTCTGTCAACAGCACTCCCTGCTCCACAGCTTCCACCTGCAATCAGTGATCAGAAGGCTGTCTCACCAGATACTGAGCTATGAATAAGTAAGATTGGAATGAAAACCATCTTGGCTATTTGGCATCACTGTGGGTTGCTTTTCTGAGCGGGGAAATTGACTTAGGCTTACTGTGAGTCTCTTCCACTGGAAGAGTGAAGGTAGGATAAATAGCCCCTATTTTCCAAGGAAAGTAAGTTAACTAGAAGCTTTGTGTTTGAATTTAAAAGCTTTGCATCCTAAAAGGTGGCTATAAATAGAAACTGTAACATTTGGAGTTCATGCCTAGGAGACCCCTCCCCCATTACATAATAATTAATTACAAAAGTTTAAATGTAGTGCCCCTTTCCATTTGGGATAGGACACAGTTTAACCACTAGTGAAGTACTGAGTTGAGTGGTGGCTCAAGAAGATATGTCCACAGCCTAACCTCAGAAACCTGTGAATGTGACCTTATTGAGAAAAAGGGC